TGTGGGGGGAAAGGAGAGGTTGGGACTGGGGTACACCCTGGTTCCCTCAGTTGCCTCAGCAGCTGGCTGAAGCTCTGGCAACTGCTGGTTTTTTAAAAAACAGCTGCTCTGACCTGCCTGTACGGGAGAGGGGGAAAGAAACGCTGTGCATGTATGTGTGTGCACTGTCTGAAGCTCCGATAGTCACTATGTGGCATGTAGCTGCCAGTATTTTAAAAATAGCTGTTCCTTTGTGCTGGTGGCGGGGGAGAGGGGTCAACACAGGCACAGCCAGGCCTTCCCAGGGTGAGAGCGGGGGTTGCCTATCCCCTGCGACGGGGGGTTGATGAGTGCAGCAAGCAGAGGGCGCAGCCCCTAGTAGCATTTCAATAAAGTTTTAACTGTTTCCATAGCAATACTTCCTGTTTCTTTTAAGATGGATCAGAAGTCCTTTTAAAGAAAGCCTTAGATTTCAAAGGGAAGCATTACTATTCACATAAAAGCTGAAGTTGATTTCCTAGAAAACAGGTATTTGGTGTATACTAGATGAGTGCAGCAAGCAGAGGGCGCAGCCCCTAGTAGCATTTCAATAAAGTTTTAACTGTTTCCATAGCAATACTTCCTGTTTCTTTTAAGATGGATCAGAAGTCCTTTTAAAGAAAGCCTTAGATTTCAAAGGGAAGCATTACTATTCACATAAAAGCTGAAGTTGATTTCCTAGAAAACAGGTATTTGGTGTATACTAGAACTGGAAGACTATACCACCGGTTTTATGATCAGACATGCAAGTGATAGTAATGTAAAATGGGATCTACAGCTGACATTAACATCTGGCGCCCCAGAAATGGCTTAATAGCACAACTAAGCTAACACCATGAACAAAGGTGTTCTATACAAATACAAGAGGTCTTTTGCCTCCCGAAAGGTAGTCAACAAATGCAAACTGTTTGCTATAAAGCATTTCCTATATAATGGAATTGAATTCACTTCTGCTGTCTCTATTCTCTTTAAAGTGATTAGTGACCATGTTATTGTTTCAGATTGGAAGAGACACAACTAAGGGGTGGGGGTGGGGGAATATGATAAAGGTCTATAAAATCATGACCAGTGTGGAGCAAGTAAATAAAGAAGAGTTATTTACTCCTTCCCATAAAACAAGAACTGGGGGTCACCAAATGAAGTTAATAGGCAGCAGATTTAAAACAAACAAGACATTATTTCCTCATACAATGCATAATCAGCCTGTGGAACTCTTGCTAGAGGATGTTGTGAAGGCTAAGACTAACAGGTTTTAAAAAAGAGCTAGATAAATTCATGGGGTCCATCAATGGCTATTAGCCAGAATGGCCTCATTGAAAAGCTGGGAATGGGAGACAGGGAGATTACTTTTTCTGTTCATTCTCTTTGGGGCACCTGGCATTGGCCACCGTCCGAAGACAAAATATTGGACTAGGTGGACCTTTGATCTGACTCAATATGGCTGTTCTTTTGTTCATGGAATTAGACCTTATTGCTGTGTTACTGACATGCAACTACAATACTCATTGATAACTTGACAATTGATAGCAGACTGCATTAAATTCACTCCTTTAGTTGGAAAAATTAAAAATTGAAATTAAACCAGTGAAATAGGAATATGTTAGATGAACATGGTAGTAGAAGTTAACAATGGAAAGGCTCCTGTTCTGTAAGCAAGTAACAGATTTTTACTGTAATTGTCCCACATTAAAATACAGTAAGAGGAGAAGAGTTGATCAAAAGGTTTGAGAATAAAACAACCTAATCACTGAAATAATTAAGATACAAGCTCAAACATCTCAAGATTCTTATGCTCTCTTGCTTTTAAGTTTTGATAAGTCAAGTGGACTGAATGATTTTTCTTATCTTACATGTTTTCTTATATTACAGGTTGAACCTCATGTGGTTGGACCAGAGAGCCCTTGAGCTGTGCGCTGTAAAGCCAGCAGCCAACAAGGCCAGGAGCAGGGCCTGTGGCCAGGAGGGGAGTCAGTGAGGACACTCTAGGGAGTCCTGATCTCCCCTGGTTCATCAAACTCCCTTGTTTAGGACTGGAGGGAGGTCCAACATATATTACATTAAAGTTATATGGAAGAAAAACAAGGAGATTTAAAATGTAAATTTCAGGTGTCAGTTTATGGTACATTATTGGATTACCTTAGTATTAATCATCAGTGACCAAATGTTAAGAGGCACAGATTTCAGTATGCTTTATAAAGAGAGATTCACAGATATTTCCTCATCAGCTGGAAGCTCTAATGACTTCAGCTTGCTTAACAGCAAACATTGAATATTATGTATTTTTCTTATGCTATGTGTGGACAAACCTGGGGATCTTACTCAGAATTATAATAATAATTCTCCCCATGTTATGCAGGCTATAAGCAAGGAATCTTTGGGTTCCACTTATCCTAGTTCCTATTCTAAATTCTTGCTGAATCATATAATTTATTGTTTTACATTTTTTGAAAATTCTTAGATCAGCTTGTGGTACTAAAACAGTTTGCATTTTTCACTTTTCTCTCAGCTTAAACATTGCAATGGCATATTTACATCTTATTTGGAAGTTATGCTTCTGGTTCAATTTTCAGCTATCTCCAGATATGCTGCAGCAAGCCCCAAATAATACACACACATTTAAGTAGCAAAGATAAATATTTATTTCAATCTGTCTGACAATTCAAAAGGTAGAGCTGGTTATATTTTCCTTTTGATTTTTTGAAACTTTGTTTTAGAAATGAAGAAATATTATATTTAAGTGAGTTCAAGGTTCTTTCAGCAGAGCACCCATTTTTAAGACTTTAAAATATTCAGACCCCATGTCTGAAGTGGGTTTACACAACACAAGATTTTTTTTTGGTAGAATCTGAGAATATTAAGAAATTAATTCCACTGGAACTATTTAGGAGGTAAGAGTCCTTACTGGACCCTTTAAGATTAAGGTTCATTCTCTTAACCCTAAGTTTAGTCTGACCGTATTCTTACCTACATACTATTTCAAAGAAAAGCTCTAAGACACCAACTAGAACAAGAAATACAAGTCCATTCATTACTACCTTTGGAAAGTACATTGTGATCTTGTGCCCAGAAATTCTAGATAGTAAACTAAAGTACTGAACAGTCTCTCAAGACAACAGGTTTCTAGTTACATTTAACATCTTATTTCTATGATAAATCCTCTACTGATGAAAAGAGTAAAACTTGGTCTCTTTAGAAATATATTCGTTGGTTTCATTCTTAAAGTATACACACTATGAATTTGGACACTGCAAAAATGAGTCAAAGATCTACTAACTAAATTTCTTTCAGAATAAGTACCTCTTAACAGTTAGAGTTTAAGCTAGGCTCTATTTTTTTAAAAAGCAAAATGTTAGTAAAGTTCTGGTTTTATTTCTATATTTTTCTTGGGTGGAATAGGATAATTAAGGAGAATTACTGTTACTCCATATTTCAGACTGACTTTAAAGCTAATATTTTCAAATTTTTGTATGAATCATTACACAAGATATATTAGTTGCCTTCAAATTTGAAAAAGACCGATCAAATAAAATGTTAGATATAAGTGGAAAGGGTAAATGAAGAGGAAAACGGCAACAGTGAATTGGTTACAGCTATATTCCTGGCTGTAGTCTTCTCCCTCTTTTCAGGCATTACCAATTAAACTACCAGGCTGCCCGATGATACTCATTATTAGGGATGTAAAATCCCATTTAATTAGTTAACTGATTAAATAGGGCCAGACTGGGCTGGGGGCAATGGGAGAGGGGAGAAGAGGAGGCAGCTACAGACTCGCTGAGTTGTTGGCTATCAGGCCACATGGGCTAGGAATCATCAGCTATGTGGCAAAAGAGAGCAGGTAGCCCTTTCCCTCCCCCACACCCACGAAGCTGTCAACTCTCAGCCTGCAAGCCTGTTATTAAATTTGTCTAATCATTCACTGTCCAATGATTTTTACATGAACACACTATGTTGTACAAGTGGAGCAAGGTGGCCAGATGTCTAGACATCTATTGGAAACAAATGCCCCAGCCTCCTTTTTTCCTGGATTCACTTATTACTTTTAAAAGGCACAGGTTGCTACTGCATTTAATGAGTTACCAGTTATGTTAAGATGTGAAATCTAGCTTTTCACAAGCCTCAGGAAGTAGAGTGTGTAATATCTGGATACCAGGCTCACAGTAATAGCAGATTATACAGGCAGTCCCCGACTTACGCGGATCCGACTTATGTCGGATCCGCACTTACGTACGGGGCTTTCTCGCCCCGGAGGTCAAGGTGGCGGATTGCTGCCTGCGAGCTCCGGGGCGAGAAAGCCCCGTTCGTAAGCTGCTCCCGGTGCCCCTGGTCTGCTGGAGACCGTCCCCAGCAGACCACAGGCACCAGGACTGAAGCGGCAGCAGCGGCGGTTCCCCGCGCTTCTGAGGCTTTGCTCTGGCAAAGCCTCAGAGGCACGGGACCCCCCCGCGGCTGCGGCTTCAGTCCAGGAGCCTGTGGTCTGCTCTGGCAAAGCCTCAGAGGCGCGGGACCCCCCCGCGGCTGCGGCTTCAGTCCGGGAGCCTGTGCCGACTTACATACAGATTCAACTTAAGAACAAACCTACAGTCCCTATCTTGTACGTAACCC